TCGCACGTTTGTTCGCACCCTTTCTCGTAACTCGTATTCCGCCGATGATCTGCTTTTGTTCAAAGATTTATTATTATTATAGAGTTTAATAATAAAATAGAATAGAATTTTATATTTTGTATATAAAAATATCAGGGGAAACGAATCCTTCGAGAGAGGAAAAAGAAAAACAATTGAAGAATTTTCCTAGAAATAATTTAAAATCGAGTATGCTATATATGATCGATTCAACGATAAATTTTAAATGTAAATACGAAAATTTAGTTTCATTTTCACCTCTCGTTTCTATCCGGAATGAATATAAATAAGCGCAACAGAACCTCCATTTCACTCAGAGATCGTTTCCACGCGCAATGAAAGTTGTGTACTCCACTTTCGCCGCAGCTTTCCTCGTGTTTATCTCTCCGACAGGAATAATACGCCCGTACACGTTGAAAATAAAATTAAAAGAAAAAGGGGAAGGGAAAGAACAACGCAGAAATAGGTTGATAAATCTCTCTCGTTAATATTTCTTCCGAATAACCACGTCTCCGGAAATATTACACCCTATTTCTCTCAGGATCAACCGATATTTTTACCCGTAACTCGAGAACGAGCTTATTATCCGGCAACGGTGTATCCCACGAAAATAAAACTTCAACTTTGCTCTGCTTCTCGCCTGGTTCCAGTTCATAAGTTCGTTAACGGTGGGCGAAAATTTCGCAGAAACGAAAGAATTTTTTTTATTTTGGAACGAGCTGAAATTAAGTCAACGCGCACGCGAGCCAGGTTCGAAAAACTTTCCTCTTTTCCTCTTCGATGTTCGATTTAACGCGATCGTACGCGATACTCTTCCGGGAGGATCGACGGATGGAGTATCGGCCTCTCTCCCTCTCTCTCCCTCTCTCTCTCCCTCTTTCGTTCGACTTGGAAAGTTTCAAAAGGTCCGGATCCCACCACAAATCACATAATTTATATGCATGAAGTCGGAATGTAGACGCGTTGCGATGGCACGGCCGAAGTCACGGCTCGAGATTCCTGCGCAAATTCAGTTTCTGGCCGAGCCTCGTGACCCGTTCATGCAAAACGACCACGCACACGGTTCAACGTTTCGCGGTCCTCCTCCACGTTCCGCTGGTTTAAACTTGTGGACGATTCGATGGAGAGCGGTTGGCTTCTCTCGCGTTTCTTCCCTCGTTAAAGTCTGCGTGAAAGAGGTCGTCGTGCACGAGAACGGCGGTCACGGAGGAGAAATTCGAGGGAATTAACTTCTTCGAGGGATTATGAATTCGAATTTTCATGGGATGTGATAATAAATGTAACTTGCGATATATATTCATTGTTCGCATATTCTTCTATGGAAAAGGAACAGTATTGTTTATGGAGAGATATATTTTATTCGTTTATTCTCTTCGAGAGATCGTAGCAGATAGAAACAGAGAAATACCTCTTTTCAATTTGGTTACTTTCAAATTTAAGATATTTCGTTTTGGCAATCACTTAGAGCTCGTTCTTCTTCTCACGAATTGCAAAACAATTCTCAAAATGATATTCTTCTTTAAGTCTAAGTTGAAACGCGAGTATTATTTACGTTTAAATGGAACTCGTTCGAAAATGGCACGTTCCATCGAACCGAAGCTGGAAAGCGAGTTTTCCATTTTCAAGCATGGCTAAAATTGTTAAAATGGTTAAAATTGTAACTCGACGAAATCCATGAATTACTCCGGAAAGATGCGCGTGTAAAATTGTAATTGGAACGAGTTTATTCGCGATATAGTAATACGATTGAAAAAGGAGGATGATCGCGTGAACGAATTTAATTTAATATTGGATTCGAGATCCATACTGTTCGATGTGCAATTTGAAACGATCGGTACAGGTAGATTGGCAAATAAAAAAGTGCTATTTCCGGGGATTAGAATCTAGACAGGTAGCGTGCTTGGTTTCATAGTAGTCATAATTCAATATTTGAAAGACTAATTTTTATTTTTTTCTTGATCGTCATTTCTCTTGTTTATTCAGAGTGATTGAAAAATTTGAATTCTAGTATGAAATGTTTTCAACAATGTGAGTGGATTATACGTATGAAATTTATTTACACTCGATAATTTGTCTAGTCTTCGTCGAGTATTATTAAATTAATCGTCAAATAAATCGTGTTTTCACTTGCGAATAAGTAATAAATTTTAAAATTGAAAGTTGTTATTGCCTCCGTCAATATTTTTCGTTGATGAAAGCTGTGGAATTAATTGACAGTTCATTGTTCTTCAATTTGTCGATAATAAAGTCTAATTTGAAACATGTCATTTTCTTGTTCAATGTTTTTCGTGATATTTTAAATTAAATTGCCTTTGTTCTTTATAAAATTTTCAAGTTAATTCGTAAATTTGTTTAATATTCAATATGCTCATAATATTTAATAATCCATAAATCTGTAAAAACATTTTTAATGGAATGTAAATCATCACGAAACCATCACCATCGCGAAAAAATAAAATAATTTGGAATAATTTTTACCAATATTATTAAATGTAATAAAACATTTTGCATCATTTCTGACACAATATTTCAAAATTCCTTACACGTTATAAAATAATATGTATAAAATCGATGTAAACAGTTTTCGAGTTAAAATATCTGTTTTACTCCTTTATTATTTCAATATTAAAATAAAAAATCAAATAACAATCAATTTACACACATCCTTTTTACTTAAAAATAGAATAATATTCCAATCAATAGTTTTAAAGTATTCGATATAATAGTTTTAATATATTCGAAAGAAAAATGGACAATTCTTTTCGATCAAACGTAACTATAAACGAGACCAAATTAAAATTCAGCGTAAAAACCCTTTCACCTCTGTATCGTAGCTCATCATTTCAACACACTTCTCAAAGAATGCACTCGACACGAGTGTCAATTGAAAACTCGAGGGAAAAACTCGAAGAGATCCCATCACCGTTCCGTGAAATTCTAAAAAACAAGTCGAGTGTTCACCGAGTGACACTCGTGCACCTAATTTTCGCGTAAAATTCGCAAACCTCGTTAATCGGTAGGATGGATTTCTTGGCGAGCGAGGGCAGCGGAGCGTTAGCGAGTTACGAGATACACATGTAACTTTGGAGAACGTCGGTGGCAGCGTTGGCTTGTTCCTGGTGCAAGAAGAGACGTATTGCGATGCTCGAATCCGCTTGGCTGCTGCTGTGACACGGCTGGCAAACGAAGAAAGTAGGGCGGCGAGAGCAGCGTGAAAGAGAAAGGGGTGGAATAACGGAACAGATAGGAGAAAAGAGACGTGCACAGAGGAGGGTTAGGTGCATCATAACGATATCTGTTGCGTGGAAGAAGAAGAAGAAGAAGAAGCGAAAAAGAAAAAGACGAAAGGGCGAAGGTATCACGCGCGGTCAAAGTGAAAGAAACTTTAAAGAGAAAAGGAGGATTATGTTCGAGGAAGAGTGTTGAAAGAGGGTTGAACGAAGTTCAGTAGGATGTTGCGTGAGGTTACGTGCAAATGGGTAAGTAGGGCTGAGAGTGAGAAGGGATTGAGGAATGAGTGGACAGGTAAAGGAAAATTAATTACTACGTCGACAGGAAAATTGACAGGATTGTTAACGAAGACAAACGTCAACGCAGCTTGTTATAAAAGTTGCACGATGAAAGATGAAACTTTTATAAGAAGAATTACGAGAGCGATGATCTTTCAACTCGTATGATGGAATGAAATTTGATTTTTTTCTTTTTTTTGGTTCTTTAATGTAATATGCTATCCTGATACGTTTATTTCTTCGTTAAAGTTTTTAGAGAGCTTTCTCTCTTTTGAGAGAAACTCTGCACCGTTTTCTTTCTATGATTTCATTTCCAACTGCATTTGATTTTTTATCTTTTGATACCGAGAGACGCGTTTCTGTCGATGTTCTTTTACGAATCTTTGTTTTTAATATGTTTGCAACAGGATTTTTCGTGTTTGTTAAAAGAGGTGAAACAGTGTTGTATGAAATTATTTTGAATATTATTATTTCAAAAGAAGAAGAAGAAGAAGAAGACAATTATGCTGATTATTCTTTTTCTTTTTTCATTGATTTGTATAAATTTTAGAATTTGCATTGATTAGATTATTTTATAAAATTTTATATGTGTAAAATAGGAAATTCACTTATATTTCATATTTATATTTATATTTGTTTTCATAGTTCATAATCATGAATACAAAATTTTAAATAGTTTGTTTCATATTATCATAAATTTTTCAACAAATACTTCAACCTCATCAAATATAATTAAAATATGATAGCGAAACTATGTTAATACATTCATTATAAATTTTGGAGCAAAGTTGAAAACTCTTCATTAAGAAGAAAAGAGATATAAATTTATCATATGATTATCTACATGATTTTAAAGAAATCTTTAAAAAATACAGTTAATATAATATAACTACTCCAATTTTTGGATAGTTTTGGATTTCTCATAGAGGAACCAATAAATTCCGCCACGAAGACCAAATTTCAAAGTGACCCAGATAGAAACACGTAGTGAGAATGCAACGAGGCAAGAGAGTTTATCACAAGAGAGTCGAAAGGCTGTTGGATACCGCAAGGAAAGAGAAAAGAAGCGCGAATGGTTCGTAAAAAGAAGGACGCGGTGGGTTCTATGTTCGAAGAAAGAGAGAGCCGGGGTGGAAGAAGGTTTCGTCTGTTGACGAAGCCGACACGCGTGTTAGGAAAGAAAGGTCGACGCTAGAGTACTCCGAATCGTGGATCGGAGTCGCGACGAGGATGGAATAAGGAAGAGACTGGACGATGTAGCGTAGACGAGAAAGAAAAGAGTTCGAGAGAAAACGAGACGGAAGGGGAAAAAGGAGATGCGAGGATTGAAACGCGGGAGTGAAAGAGGGAAAAGAAAAAGAAAAAAAAATATAAGGAGAGCGAAAGAGAAAGAATGAAAAGGGGAAAAGAGGCCGAGGCAGAGACCTACATATTTCGCGGGGCCAATGAGACGGCGCAATGTGGCGGCACGGTGCTCGTCTGATCTCGGAACGAAGTACAGCGCAGCCAGCCGGCAGAGGGAGAGGGAAGCGAAGGTAGCTCGGCCGAATAGAGCGCTACTCCGTTTCAGTTGCTTACGAGCATTCGCCAGTGAACGAGCTGAATCATGGTTGTCCGTTTCGTAAATAACAACGCGGGTGTCGTGCTCGCGATGTGTCGTACGGTGCTTCTCGTGTTCATTGCCGTTCTTGTTCTTGCTAGCGCTGATCAAAACCAATCGGGACTGAAAGTCGAGAAATTGTACGTGCCGGAGGTATGCGACGCCAAATCAAAAATTGGTGACCAGCTGACGATGCATTATACCGGCACACTTGTCGATGGTACAAAATTCGACTCAAGGTTAGTGACGCATTATTAAATATACTTGTATTTAAAGAGAAACAATAATCTCTTTTTGCATTTCACGCGTGATAAAATATATGATTTTGTTTGTTTATCCTGTCCCGTTAAGAGGTTAAGTTCGATGTTAGTGGTACACGTGTCACGGAATGGAATGTTGCCTATTGCGTGGCCAACATGTTTGTGCTCGAACACGTTTTTTTTTATTCGATATGCCGCTTGTCGAACAGTCAAAGAGCTCTTTTCATTGAATAAATATGCGTTTTATATTCGTTAAACTTCTGGTTTCGGAGCAATGGTTCGAGGAACTGGCGTTCCAGATTCAAACGTTATTTTCATGTAGGTTGCGATGATGTCAACGATATGGGATTCGTTCATAAATTAGAAATGGCTATTTTTAATTTTTCGTCTAATAAAATCAGATTAGGTTAGATTAGATTCAAATTTATTTTTCAAAATTATGTTTTAATTAATATTTTAATGAAATTAAGAAAATAGAGTCAGTATGTTATCTAATCATCTTATTAATATGAATTTAAAATAAAAATAGGGAATTATAATATTATAATATGAATGTTGAAAATTGATTATTATAATATTGAAAATAGATATATACAGAGATAAATCTTGGAAAAAAATGGTGTCGATATAACAAGATTCATATAATTTCTTTGAGAATATTAAATTTTCGTGTCATCATTTTTTTCTAATGATACTTGAGAAACTATCTGTAATTAATCATATTTTCATCAAGGTTCTTATTATCATTGTGATATTTATCATAATATCGTTTATATATAATATTTATATATTTATATATAATGATTTAATGATTGTAATATTTCATTTAATATTAAAACATTTTTTCATAACTATCTTTTTTATGTTATTAATAAACGAAAGTATAGTTGATAGGAAAAATATAATGAATATTCTTTTTCTATATTATTTTTCGAGTTTGAATATCTATTGTAATATAATTTTTATTTTCTACAAAAAAATTGTAATTATTAAACAAACAGTTTTAAGATTCCTACAGTATATTGTTAAATATATCTTCAAGAATATTCCTTATATTAATATAAACTTGCATCACATATTTTATATTTGGAATTGTCTTGTTTCTTATTTGAAAACTTTCCATAATCGATTTGAAATTCGATAACTCGTAGATTTTCAACTTATATATATTTATATTCTGAGAATTCTGAACGAGATTAATTAGATTTGTACACTTCAAAAGTATATTTTCATAATCAAAATTAGCTCATATAGGTTTGTATAATGTCAACGTGGCTCGTGTGGATCTTTACTATCTTTGAGCGGGAAACTTTATATATCGATGATTCATTCGAACATGAAACGTGCTCTCACGCGATTGGATCGTGTATGGTCTGGCAATGCGATCACTGTATACCATAAATAGATGATCCAATCAGTGATCTGTTAATGTTCATGCAAAGTTTTTACTTTTAACTCGTTGGTTACTATTTATGGTATTATTGATGATCAAAGTAATTTACAACAGGTTAATTTTCCATAAAAATCGAATATTCAAATATATCCAGTTATACATGCTAAAAAGTTTTTGTACATTTTATAAAAAAAAATAATATAGGCGGTATAAGTATAAATTATAAGCATAGTATGTCGTGTAATAACATATTCATGTCTTACATGTAAAGTAATATATAAAATAGTTCTTATCATAGACATAACAAATGGAGTGCTTATCCATTTTCTTACCTATTAATATTTTGTACTATCTTAGACAATTTTTTATATAATCTTTGTGAATATGTTTTAAAAAAGTATTATAATTGTGCAAGAAATAAATTTAATAATTTTTAAAATTATTTTTTCACTAATTAAAAATTAAAGAAAAAACATTATGTTTAATTAATATTTGCTTGCATTATATAATTTATATTTTATAATTAAATTTATATGTAAATTCAATGTTTACATCTTTGATTTTCAATCTCTTTATCATAGAATTAATCTTCTAGTAAAATTATAGAATTTTCTTTTTAAAATTTTTATCAATAGCTATATAGTATAGATAATGGAAATATTATTTCATATTACTTTCGAAAATTATAAATTATATTACATTTGCAAATTTTATCCATTAATATAATACGCGAAAATAAAATACACATACAATTACATCACGATACAATTACCGTAGTGCAACATACAATTTTATAATAAACTTTTAAATTTAATTCATTAAATTCAAACAAATAGAATTAAACAAAAGTAAGGATTAAGAGTCAAAAGTTACACATTATCATATGAAAATATAATGCAAGTAAATATTAATTAAACATAATGTTCTGACAATGATGTTGCTAATATCACAACGGGATTTCCCACCTATTTTTTTTTTTTTTTCTTTCCAACGTATACTTTGGAGAATCAGTGGCAAACGCGAAAAGTTAATTACGCTACGATTCCGCTATGATAATGCGAAACAGGCAGGTTCCCACCATCTAAAATAGAATCGTGGGCTCATTATCGGTAACGAGAAATCACGAGGCAAATTGTGGCCTCTCGGCCTTGTCAGAAATCGGATTTGACAGCCGGTTTACTTACGTGCCCCTCTGTCCGCTCCACGAAGTCGTTCGCCAGAATTAATTGCTCCTCGATCCAGAGGTGACAAACTCTCGACCCGGTTGATCGATGGCGATTTTCGCGGCCTAGTGATGTCTATATGGAAACAGCTACGATTCTTGCACGAATATATTTTAATAAAAGTTCAGTAGAAAAAGAGAACAAAGTTCTTTTGGAGACTGATAGGTTCTACTTTTTGATTAGTTTTCCCAACTATGGAGAAAAGTAATTATTAAAGAATATGGTTAGTCGATGTAAACTTTCATTAACATTTTGAGAAATAAGAATACTTACTGTTTTTATAAGTTTTATTTAATTTAAATATATTTTTTCACATTAATAAAGATATTAATTAATTGTTTTGTTAATATTTTTAGCAAAGTATTGTATGCCTATATTTGGCATGACAAATAATTATCTAACAGAGAAAAATTTTGTTTTACGTTTATCTGAGATTATTTTGTCTTTCTCCATAATTGGGCAATGATGTAAATGATAGCTATAAATATATTTTTGAGAAAACAAGATTTGTTATCGTTCGCTTCATTCGATGATAGATTATTTTTTTCGTTTCTATCCTTGAGATATGAGGATTGTTAATATCAGAGGGATAACCTCTAGAGACTGTGAAAAAAGAAACGAAGGATTAATCTTGGAAAAGATAATACTGACTACTTGTTTTATTTCATTTGGTATTTTCTTGGAGTAGTTTATTAGATTAATTGAAAGCTTTATATTCGAGTTTGTACTTTATCTAATTAATAAGTAAATTTCAGATTAAATTTCTTTTCATAAACTTTTTGTAAATGATAGATATATGTTTCAAATCAATCAAAATATAAAAAAATTTATAGATTTATACTTAGATACATTACTTGTTTTCTCTTTTTTTTTAATTATTTTTGTTTCAATAATTTTTATTCTCATAGAGGTGTTTTGTTAATCCTTATTTAAATTTTATTAATACAAACACGACAAATAATCGACGATAAATAATCACAGATGATTATTGAATCATTAACAAATACTCAGTTATCAGATTTCTAAAAATTTATATCGATTAGGGAAAGAAATATTTCTTTCACGATCGATTGAACGTCAAGCTTGTAGAAAAATATCGGTTTCGGTATTAGCGAAATTTCCATCATTTCCAAAGACATATTGGGAAATATTATTTTTCCATACAATTTATTCACGCAAGCGTACGTCACAAAGCAGCTCTTTGTGATTCAAATTCGGTATTACAAGCGAGGATTGGCGTCGAACTCCTTTGAGTTTACAATAACTCGCGAAATTGTATCGCGACTGGATAAATCGTGTTTTCGCCTGTTTTCATAATCGTTCTCTCCGTTTCGAAATCATCGTTTGTTAAAAGTTTGCATCTCCTCGCGGAGACTCGTCGTTATGAACGTTTCCATTTCTTTCTTCACAGTTGTTATGGCGGCTTCGAACTTGCTTTGATGCTCATATTAATTAAAACGTAAAGAAATGCGCACGTCAACCAGACGAATTTCCCTTTGTACCTGTGATACAGATACTTTTCTGCATGTGGCATATAGCTTTTCGCGTTCAACTTTCTTTGCTTCGTTTCGCGTTGTAATTTCGAATGCTTATGACAGAATAGTACGCGAGGTGTAGACTTTTGTTGGATAAAAATGAAAGAGTTTTCTATATTTTTTTTTTTTCTAGTAATACATGTGATACGATCGTGATTATGATGTATCAAAATTAAAAATTGATTGAAGTATTTTTAAATGCTTCAGAGGTATCTATATACATATTTGAGTATTTTTTTTTTATACAATAATATAACAATTCCTTTAATAATAATAATAATATTAAATTTTATTATACAATTTAGATTAGGAAACGAGTATGATCGAAGAAAGATAAATTAGGATAGAAAAATATGTATTATCTTTTAAATAACTATTTTTCATTAATATTTCAATAAAAAATTTTAGATTTGATGTTCAATTTTTTTTCTAAAATAAAAGTTACGCTCGTGTTTTCTCTGATCGTTTTATTCAAGTTCTTTGATAATTAGAATAAATAAAAAAAAAGAAATAATGTTTGATCAAAAATGGTCGCGTTACCACGTCATTATTTCGTGTGGCCGTTATTGGTACCGTTAATCGTGGAGCCAACAGACTAGCCAGGAAAAGTTAATATCACGTTTGGGGGTCATGAGAGAGACTATGAACTATCTCGGTGTATATGGTGTCATAAATAAAATATAATGTTTCCATTATAATAGTTTTTTATATACAAAAATACCGTTTATTTGATATTTTAATTCAAATACACAAACGTAAAAAAAAATTGAAGCTTAGTATTAAAAAATTTAAAAGAGAAATATAAAAATGCGAAAAGAGAAAGTTATT